CTCTCCTCTCAGAACTTATAAGAGAGAGCTAGAACAAAGTCAGAAGAACCACAATAGCTTTTACCAGCTGAGAAGCTGTCCCTACCCAGGTAAAAGCATTTTGTAAAACCTTGTGGTAAGCTACAAGCAGCTGGCACCACCACCACTTGTGGGCAAAGCCACATTTATAAACACAAAACATGTCATGTCCTCGTTAAGCTTGAAAAAAAAAAAAAGTTACTTTCAAGAAGCACCCAAGTTTCATGAACTCAGCAAAAAGTCTCTTAGAAACTTTTCTGAGAAAAAAAGAAAAAAGCTGTTCGTTCTCTGCAGTGAAGAGAAACCCAGAAGTTTTGCTAATGGTCAACAGGAGTCATTTTTCACTCAAATCAGGTTGCTTGTTTCTGTGTTGAATGAGCAGTCGTATGTAAGGAGTACCAAGTAGGTATCATGGATCATTGGACTGCTAATAAATGGCAGGAGGCACACAAGCTTAGAGAGGAAGGAAAAGAGAAAAGAGTTTACATAAATCTTTTAGCCTAAAGGGAAGTTTTCTATACAGAAAATAAAAGACATTCTGACTTCTGATTTATACTGAAATAAAATGAGAGGAAAATTCTGGTCTGTCTTGAGATGAATTACCCATAGAGCGTTGCACTCTGGTACAACAACCATATTACAGGGGATTAACAAGTGTACTGCTCCTCTACTCCATGTTGTAATCAGCAACACACTCGTAACCTGACACAGATGTGAAGTAGGGTGGATAAGCACAACTCTTTGCTTAGCATCAAGATCTCTGTTTTCCCAAGCTGAACTAGATCAGAGATCCTTAGCATCCCTACCAGGAGAGGTAGGGAAGGGAGAAGAGGTTACAGCCCTGTGAGGCAGAGCCCATGCACCAACGTACTCGTCACCATCCTCGTGCCAGAGCCAAACTGCTCACATATCACGTATTTCTCCTGATGGATGAGGCAGGCAGCAACTCTCACTCTTAATGAAGTTCTCCTTATTTACCCAGGCATTAACTTCATTATTTCAGCTATCCCTCATTAGCAAGTAACAGATATCTTTGCAATACGTAACTGCCTTCTGCAACGTCTCTGTTCCCCCACTGATTAGTTGCACCTAATTTGGTCAAGATGCTTGTTAAATCACTAAGCACTGTGAGAGGGTCTCTGTATGGAAATTGGACCATGAGAGAATCAGCTTTAATTCCTGATGCAATGTGGTATTAATAAGAGACTGTTTCTCTTCATTATTGCACTATCGGTCTTAAATAGTTGAGTCCTAATCTCCCAATCAATCATCTTCAAAATCAGTATGCTTTAATCAATCACATCCATTTGCAGGGGAAGTAAGAACTATTATTTAGCAAGGAGGCAGTGATTTTTAAACTTCTCTTTTTCTTTGTCTGGCTGAATGGAAGAAAAATTACAGTTCCTGCAGATGGCTGTGGCATCACAGCAGAGTTCCATTGCAGAGTTCTGCTCTGTGCGGAGAAAGGGCCCATATCGTAGAAGCTGGCTAAACAAAACATTGAAAATTTACTGAAGGATCAAGTCTGGATGAATGCAACCTTGATTCCTTGATAAATGTACACAGCTTTAGATGCTACTCTTGAAGAGTTAATGAATTCTGACCAGTGACCGCAGGAACACAGGACCTCAAACACCAGTTTCTAAAAGAAACTAAGTTAGTAATGCAAATTATGAAATGTGGCCTATTTTCATGTTTTTCAAATGAATATAGCCCAGACATACTCCAAAGAATTTCTGAGTGAGTATGAAGCTGTTGAACTTTAAGGGGGGAGAGTTTCAAAGGCATAAATGGCACTTAACTTCCAATTATGCCTTGGAAAATGTCCCACTAATGGCTAATATAGTTGATTTATTTTCATAAACCTTAATTACTTCACACTATTTTTTTTTTGTACTGAACAGTCTAATCAGTTCAACCGAGCAGTTCAAACACAATGCGCAAAATAAAAAGGGGATCTGCTCCAATGCCAGGTTTCCATATGCAAGTTTAAATTCTTTATCAATTCTAGTATTTACACATCTAGATAAGTGTGAATACTTGTTATTACATGTGTGTACAACAGATGTACTATTAAATCTGTTTACTAAAATTTTAACTAGAAAATATTTTAGCAATATTATTTGTATCAAATATTTTGGGGGAAAAAAGGTGGGATTTTTTTTTGTCTAGTATAAAGTCAAGAGCTTCTCGTATTGTAGTTATTAACACAAGTGATAGTAGCAGCAAAGAGCCAGTTCCTGAAGTGTACTGTTTTGACAGCTTGCAATACCCGTACCTGGGAGATCCAGCAGGACAGAACAAAGGGAAAATGTGCAATTTTAGGTCTCCCTGCATGCCATTCCCTCCTGCTGCAGAAACATCCCAAGACATTTGGTAATTATTCAGTGTGATTTAACTGCAGATTTCTTAGAACAGGAGTCCTTTAATGGAGTCCTTTAATTTATTAATTTATTAAACTTGAGAGTCTTAATTAAGGTGTTTTACCCGCCCTGAGGATTCCTGGGACCCTCCCGGACGGACCCGGGCGAGAGGTGCCGGCTGCCAGAGAGCGAGAACAGATTGCCCTCTAGTGCCCAAAGCAGGCAGAGATGCACAGTCCAAAAAGGGGTTTTAATTATTGCTTCCGAGATGCCTGCATATCTCACACTAACAAAACTAAGACTTGTTGCAATGAGCTGTTTTGGGGGCAGCTTCTGCACCCAGCAAAGCTGTCTAGCGGTTCTCCGGATCCGATAAACACTCCGAGGCGGGCTGAGTGACTCATCAACGTCAGCAAAACTGAAACACAGGCGCACAGGGAATGCTTTGCTTCATCCAGTTTTATCTTTTGGTAAAATCTTAATTGGAGGTTTAATAGAAAGCAAGATTCTGACAAGCAGACAGCTGCAGAACAAGGGAAGCACCCAAGATGGGCAAATAATCTTACAATTATCAACATGATTTTAATTTCCTAGTAAGAACTGATATTCCTTTTATATTTCTTTTCTCATACATAGGACATTACTAAATAGAGAACACTGTTCTCACTCCTGATCACTTTGCAGTTCTGTCCATGGGTAAACTACCCCCCTTTCTCACCCTTTTTCCAGTTGCTGTGTGACACACAGCAGGGTCACTGGTGGAGTAGCCCACAACACAGGGCTGTGAACCTCCTAGCAAGCTTCCAACTGAGAAAGATAAAAGAGAGAAAAACCTAGATCTGGCAAAGTCATAAATGGCTTCAGCAACAACTCCCTTTCTCTAAACTTTGAGAGAAACAGCAAGCCTCTCATCGTGAGAATGCAGACCTATTAATTCACAGTTACCTCAGCATGCTGCTCATTGCTTAATAAGCTCCCGAAGGCAGTATAGTACTCTAATACTGGGAGACTGGTATATGAGGCATTTAAAACAAACTTAAACCTTTTGAATTTTTTTTTTAAATCCTGAACTGACACAATCAAGAGGTTCCTTAGAACTGTATACCAGAGTCATTAAATAATAATGCTAGACAAATTTCTTCAATACCTTTCTTACAACGTTTTTCCAGTTTTAGATGTAAAGCTTAAGATGAATCAATAGTTTTCAGAATAAAACTCAAAATCACAATCTGAGTTAATGGAGCAGGACGCATCAACTAACAAATATCTTAGTGTTTCTTCCATGCAATTCAAAGATCATCCATTGTTTACAGTCTCACATTTTTCCAGTAGGTAAACAATTTAAATAATTCAGAAAGATGTTAATTCCTATTTAAATACATAGAGCAGCATGAGCTATTTCTTTAGTTAGTTTTAACTGCCTCCAAGTCACATGTTTTTTGTTAGCAGTGGTAACTTTTCAGGAATTTAGGTAGAACTACCAGCAACTGCAGGAGGGCTTCAGAGCTGGCCAGGCAGCCAGGTTTGAGCAGCTCATACTTCAGCTGTACAGCACAACAGGGACAGACCAAAGCCCCCGTCTTTTTGCTGGAGGTGCCACAGCCCAGGGCACACACCTGTGTGCCCACCCAGCACTCACTGAACACTTCCCTTATGGTTCAGCACCTCTGACATTGTTCATGCCCTGTACAATTCCTTGTTCATCCCTGGGAAGACAGAAGCAGGGGCATGCACAGCTGCATCCTGCAGTTTAGTAGCCAACCCATTCACTTGGAAAATCCATGCACAATTTTTATCATTCCAGACAGTCCTTAAATGAAGCAATCAGTACTGTAAAGTACTGATCGCTCCAAGTACAGAAGGGAAACTGTCGAAAAAGAAGTCCTCCAAATCTTTCCTCAAAGTCGTCTCGTGTCAATCACTTTCCCTTCATTAGTTTCACAGTCCAATATAGAATTGTTACCCCTTTCAAAACACTTATGCAGTGCAAGTTTGACATGGAACATGGCCCAACATTTAACAAACATTTACTTTGTCCTAATTTTGTCCTACAATCTTCAGTCATCCCCATTTGCAACAGCAATTAGCCATTTTAGATAAGAAATGCCCACAAAGAGATACCCGTCCTCAAAAAATCATGTTAGGCTTTATTTTTATACCCTAAGAATACGGGAGAGCTGTTCAGTGTAGCTTATCTTAGTACATCAAGAAAGCAAGTGACACTGAGCGCTCCTTGAACTTTCATAAACTTCCCTCTTAACTCGCATTACCAGTATCAATCACTGTCTTTATTAATGTGTTTTTAATTGCTTTATGGATTTTATTTTATTTACTCGTCTTTTACTTCTTGTTGCAGATAATGTTAAGAGTCCTCTTCATTGATTATTGGCAGCTGCTGTGTTCTGAGAAAACCTCTTTCAATTTAGCTTTCCGGATCCTTTGACTTCCCACTCAACAGCTTTATAACCTCCCCAACAGCTTCATAAATGCACTGCAATGGTCACATGAACGTCTCGGGAGGGGAATCAGCACCTCTGCATCTCCTCATTACTATGGCACTTTAGGAAGAGAGAACCAAAAAAGTGGCAAGTCCAACAGAAGTTGGAAGTCCTGCAAAAGATGAATCTAACTGTGAAGCTCCGCAGAAGTTTCAGAACACTGGTCATTCTCCTGGCAACCTTCTGCTTAGCAAGCATCATCATTTCTGCCTATTACCTCTACACTGGCTACAAGCAGGAAATTGCCCTCGTGGAAACTACCGGAGAAGCAGAGTGTGAAGATCTCAAGCTTCTACCATACAGGTCCCTGGAGCTGAAAACAGCCAAGCCAATTGATCCTTCTAGAACTGATCCCACTGTCCTCCTGTTCGTGGAAAGCCAGTACTCCCAGCTGGGGCAAGACATCATAGCCATCCTTGAGTCCAGCAGATTTCAGTACCATATGGTCATCGCGCCAGCCAAGGGGGATATTCCCCCTCTCACAGACAATGGAAGAGGAAAATACACAATTGTTATATATGAGAATATTTTAAAATATGTATCCATGGACTCGTGGAATAGAGAGCTTCTGGAAAAATACTGTGTGGAATACAGTGTTAGCATAATTGGTTTTCATAAAGCCAACGAGAACAGCTCCCCAAGTACAAAACTGAAAGGATTGCCGTTGCATCTTTACAATAATGTAGCCCTCAAAGACTGTGTGGTAAACCCTCAGTCTCCTCTGCTGCGCATTACCAAAGCACCAATGGTTGAGAAAGGTCCACTGCCCGGTGAAGACTGGACAGTTTTCCAGTTTAACCATTCCACCTATCAACCTGTGCTTGTAACGGAACTGCAGACCTCCAGACCACCCCCCACAGCGTTGCCAATGGCTGCTCTGTATGCAACCGTCATCCAAGACTTGGGACTTCATGATGGGATACAAAGAGTCCTTTTTGGAAACAACCTGACCTTCTGGTTGCACAAGCTGATCTTTATTGATGCCATCGCTTTCCTTTCGGGGAAGAAGCTCACACTGTCCTTGGATAGGTACATTCTGGTTGACATAGACGACATCTTTGTTGGAAAAGAGGGAACAAGGATGAAAATCAACGATGTGAAGGTAAGGCAAGAATTGGGGGATACCATCCCAGATACATGCATGCACAAATGGATATTTAAAGAGAGACAAAGTGTGAGAAAGCTGGCAGGCTCCACTTCCTAGTAAAGCCTGAAAGTGCACCAGTGCAGCTAGCAAATACAGAAACCACAACCTGCGATCACTTTAAAAGTCTGTTTACCCACATGAATACAGAGATGCATTCATGTATGTGTGTATACATTGATACATAGAGATGGCCTCATACAGCAATGCATATAGTGGATGTACTGGCTGCCTCTTGCTTACAGAGGTTCTGCTTAAGGGCTTACCCTGAGCACCTGGGTGACAAAAGAGACTCTTTATATCTCATGTAACAGAGAGCTCTCTTTAAACTAAATAAAAGGATCT